CGCGGCTGAGCGTGTACATGGAGATGTCCGTGGAGGCGAAGCCCGGGCCGCCCGCGCCGCCGGGAGACGCGTCCCGCGACGGCGACGGCTCGCTGGAGCGGGAGCTGGAGCGGGAGCGGCGGCGGTAGCGGAAGCGGTAACTGGGCAGACGGAGGATGGCCGAGGGGCCGCTCCCGCCACTGCCGCCCGCGCCCCCGCCGGCCTTGAGCAGGTCCGAGCGAGACTGGCAGTGCGCCTCGCGGCTGCGCTCGATGTAGATGTTGACGGCCAGCACGCCGATCACCTCGGCCAGGATGAAGGACAGCCCGCCGAAGTAGAAGGACCAGCCGTACGAGTAGTGGTTCTTCTTCTCCTCATCCCGCTTCGGGCCCGGCTCGCCCGCGTTGGCAGAGATGTACACGATCACTCCGATGATGTTGCTCAGGCCTGGGCGGGGACAGTTAGAGGGGAGCCTCCAGGCCACCAGGGCCCCGCCCCGCAGTCCAGGCCAGGCCCCGCGAGGGCTAAGCTCCACCCAGGGAGTTAGGCCCCGCCCCACTGGGCGAATCTCTGCTCAGGACCTAGGCCCCCAACCCCCGCCCCTCCACTTGAAATGGGACAGACAGGGCTCTGGATGGTCTAAGCTCCACTCGGTGGCCTAGACTCCGCCCCTGCTAGCCCAAGCTCCGGCTGCACTGTTCTGATGGTCCAAACACTCTTCTTGGTGAGACGGTCACAGCCTGGGTTTCCAGATCCTTTCTTGGTTGATTTAATTTATAAACTCAGTCTCCGCCGTCTGCCCTTTGAACTCAACGATGTGATCTCTCTCTGTCCTGTCTACTGCTGATCTACACTCTCCAGCCTGGGTATTTACTCCAGGCGCTCCCCTGATGTTTTAAAATTTGATAAATTAGGTCCCCTTTCAACTCTAGGTCCCGCCTCCAGTTTGTCAAACCCCGCCCACTGTGGGTCTAAGCAAAGCTCCTCCACACCCCTCTCAGGCCTAACTAGCTCCAAATTTCAGATCCTCCAGATCTTCCCTTGCAGATTTAGACCCAACCCCATGCACACCCTGCTCTTTAAATATGCTAAATCCTCCCTCTTCTCCTTATCCTACCCCTTCAAACGACTCTGCCCCTGGAATTTCCCAGCTCTACTCTTGCAGAGCAGAAAGGGGAAGGGGGGGTCTTACTCCTAATAACATGCCTCTCAAGGAGTTGGTCTAAGCGCCCTAAATCACCCAGGTTAATAATGCCCTTAATGACATAATCCCTCCCATTTTGAATTTCCCAGGCACCGCCCAATCTTTTTAGCCCCTCCTCCACCCTGTGTTACTGGCCTAGCCCCTTCAGCCTTCATCTCTACATGGTTTCTCAGAACCACCCCCTTCTAGGCTAATCTACTAAGCAGGCTGCTCACCATCCTCAGGCAAATCACGTTTTCCCTCTTCTGACCCCTTCCTTCGGTGGCCAGCCCCGCCCCCCTAACCCCAATATCTCAAGCCCGTCTCAAGGTCCCACCCTCTTTCCCAAACTCCTCCCGTTCCGCCTCCAGAACCGCGGGCTTTGGAACCTAAGCTCCCAGCATCCTTGGTTACGCTCCAGACACTGGTCTGTGCCCAAGAAGAAGACACCTACCTTACCCAGCGGGAGGCGATGGAGCTTGGGAAGAGCCTAGAAAGGCTTCGGGCTCCAGGGGGCGCTCGGGGTAGGGTCGTTTTGCAGGCAGACCCGCGCACACACTCGCGCGCGCGCTCGCGGGGACCGCTCCAGCCCGCCGCCCCTTCCCTCTGCCTCTCACCTGCTGCCACGAACAGGATCCCGGCTCCCAGAATGATGTTCCTCTTGGACTTGTAGACGCGGGAGGCCGCCACGCACACGCCCCCGAGCAGCAGCAGGATGGCGCTCAGGATGGGGAAGATGCTGGAGGCCCGGACAACTCCTGCGGGGAGGAAGAAAGGAAAGGAGGGAGGAAGGGAGCGAGGGCGGTCAGACGGGCCGCCTGCGCTCCCCGGCCCGCGGCGCCTCCTGCCTGCCTTCGCCACTGTTTCTTTCTGGATCTAGTTCTCTAATTCTGCCTCTCTGCCTGTGATCCTTTCTTTTTTCTTTCTTCTATTCTCCCGCCTGTTTTTAAAAAATTCTCCATATATTTATATGTCTGATTTCCTCTCGTTTTTTTCCTCCTTTTCTTTTTTCCTTGGTCTGTGTTTTTCCTCTCCTGTCGTATTATTTTCCCCTTTCTCTAAACCACTCTCCCTCTCTATTCTTCTCTCAGCTTCTCCATTGTTCCTCTCCCATGTCTCTTTTTTCTTTCTTGGTGTTCCCTTCTGCGAATCTTCCCTTTCTCAAGATCTTTCAAATGTCTTCATACTTGTCTACACCCCTTCTCTCCCCTCCCTCCTCCTCCCTTTTCTGCCAGGCGTCTTTCAGAGTTTCTCCAGCACCCCCCCTCCCCGTGACTTCTGCCTGGCTTCATTCAACCTTTCTGGGTCGCTCGCTCTCCCTCCCCTCTTCCTAGCTGCCCTCTCCCCTCTTCCTTCCCTGGCCTCTCCTCTTCCCCACCCACATCTTTCTCTCTCCCTCCATCTGTCTTTCTCCCTCTCTATCTCTCTGCAGTCCTTTCCATCCACCTCTAAAACCCCAGGCAACCAGACTTTGCGATTTCAGAGCCCGGCTGAGGCTGCAGCCAATCGTAACCCAAGCTTTGCCGCGTTCTCGGGGTGACTACCAATCGCAGCCCAGGCTTCCCCAGCCCGCTCCTGGAGTGGCCCGTCCCTGCCGCGGATTGGTCCACTGCCCGGACGCGGCGGCCAATCCCAGCCCGAGAGTCGACAGCCAGTCATAGTGCACAGCTGCCGCGAGTACCAAAGAGAACCGGACGGCCAATCAGCAGCCGAGATCCCCCCTCGGCCCGCCCCGAGGTGAGAGGAGGGGGCGGGGACACATCACTAAGCCAATGGGGAGCCAGGGGATCTGAGCGTCTGGACGCGGATCGGCTGGGAAGCTAACCTACGCGTGTGATCCCAGCGCTGGCCCGGCAGCCCCCTCCCCCCGGCTGTCCCGGACCCCACGTACGGAGCAGATACTCCGCGCTGTCGTGGTCGTAGTCCGTGTCCTCCGGAAAATGGTTGATCTTCACGCAGACGCCTCTTTTCAGCCCTGGAGAAGGGACGGGGGTGGTGGGGGTGGGAACTTCAGAGTTCGGGGCGGGGCGGCCCACAGGGAGAAAGCCCCCCCCTTCCCCAGACCCCTTCTCTCTGGTCTGATGGTGAGACAGAAGTCCTGGCCCTGAGCCGGTGTCGGTATCGGGACAACTTTCAACCTCTCTGGTCTGTTTCCCCACCTGTTAAAAAGGAAACAAAAAAACACCCAAAGGCTAATATCTTTCCAAGCACGTACTACAGGCTCCAGGACGTCTGCCCTGTAACCTGGGCTAAGACACTCAACCTGTCTGGCTTTCTCTTTCCCCTCTGAGGAAAAGGGTGTTGGTCTCAACTTTGTCGAGCCGCCCTTGTAACCCTAAACTTGTTGAGAAGTCTGAAAATGCGTGGGAAAACAAGGACTGAACTTCCCCTGAGACCCTGCGAAGTCCAGTTGCAGGAGGGAGCAGCCCAGTGGGTCGTGGGAGTTTAGTTTCTTCATCCTGTAAAGAGAGGGAGGGATTCCCAGTCTAACAGAATCTGGAACCTCCAGAGATGGAGTGGCTGAGGAGGGAGTGTAGGATGGCCCTAGGGGTACTGAAGGCTCTCCTCTTCCTCCATCCCAGTGTCCTCTCCTCGGATCCTCATCCTCACACCCTCTGGAAACCTATCTGACTTCTTTGGAGACACTGTCTGTTTTACAACCTCTAGCACATAGCTGAAGAAAAAAAAAGTATAAGTAAATTTAAATTCCTCAACTCTCCAAGCTCCCTCCAACCTCCAGGCCAGGGAACATTCTGTTCACATTCTCTGCTGATGCAGTACTTACCCTGCAGCTCCTTTAAAAAGCATTCCCTACATGCACAAGCGCACGAGCGCGCGCGCGCACACACACACACACAAGTTGGGCCAGTGGCCTCCTCTTGGGTACAACAGCTCCCTGGCTGCCCCTTTTAGGATGTGCTTGGGTTGATTTACAGTCATCCTACTCAAGCTGGGAGTTCCTGAAGGGGAAGGGCCTGGAGTCAGATTCCTTGTCCCTAGCATTGCCTGGTACCCAGAGACCTAGAAGAACAATAGACGGATGAATGAGTGAATGATGGGCAGAATAGAAGGAGAGCAGAAGTGGAGAGTAAAGGCAGACCAATACAGGCAAAGAAGAGCCGAAGAAATGGGGTAAAGAAAAGAATTGGTAAGAAGGAGGACACAGCAGTGAGTAATACCAATAAAAATGATCATTTGCTAAGTGCTTCCTAGGTGGATTAACTCAATAGGTACACAAGAGCCCCCTGAGGGCTGGGAGCGTACTTCAGTGCTAGAGCACTTGCCTAGCGTGGCCCAAGCCCCGGGTTCCATTCCCAGCACCTAGGAATTAAAAAGAAAGAAAGAAAGAAAAGGAAAAAAAAAGATTCCATGAAACATGCTGGTGTCACACAGTCCTACTGCTTTGGCAGGAAGCCTGATTCCATCCACTCTTGTTACACCTTCTACCTTGTTGCAATACATAGGCCAACTTTCTGTTCCCTCACCCGTTAAAAAAGAAAATGGGACCTATGTCCAGGTTGATGTGAGGATTTGGTCTAGACCAGGAGAGGTAACTGATGTTTTGCAGCCATTGTCCAGACAGAAACCTGGGCACTGCATGGCTCATTAGCCCAGGACTGATGGGTGGAGGAAGCAGAACTCACACACACACACCTCTGGGCTGTAAGCATCTGGGCTGTTCACCACTGTGTTCACAGCATCCAGGACAATACCTAGCACATAGTAAGTGCTCAATAACTGTTTTTAATGAAAAGAATGATTGAATGGGCCAAGAAGCAGAAAAAACACTCCACATCACTATACATTAGAGAAATTCAATCCAAACCACAAGGAGATACCATTTTATACCCAGTAGGAAGGCTGCTATTTTAAAAGGCAGAAAGTAAAATTACAAGTGCTGGCAAAGATGTGGAGAAATGGGGACCTTTGTGAGCTGTTGGTACAGAGGTTCCTCAAAAGTTGAAACAGAATTACCAAATGACTCAGCAGTTCCACCCTGGGTACACCCTGAAGAACTAAGCAAGAACTCAAAGGGATATTTACACTCCATTTTCATTGCAGCATTATTCAGATAGCCAAAAAGTGGAAAAGACTCAAACGTCCATTGACAGATGAATGGATAAGACAAACAAAATGTGACGTATACACGCCGTGGAATATCACTCTGCCTTTCCAAGGAAGGAGGTATGAAACACACCATAACACCGATGAATCTTGAGGACGTTGTGCTATATGAATCAAGCCAGTTACAGAGAGACAGATTCTGCATGATTATATGAGGCATCTGGAGCATCCGGCATCCGATTTATCAAGACCGACAGTAGATGGTAGTTGGAGGGTGGGGGGAATGGATTGAGTTTCAGTTTTGCAGAAGAAAACACTTCTGGAGATTGGTTGTTCAATGTGAATGTACTTAACATTACTGAAAATTATTAAGATGGTAAATTTAGGTCATGCATATTGTACCCCAACTTTAAAAAGAGAAGGTGAATGGATGTACACTCCCTGGTGTAAACTCTGACCCATCCTTGGGGTCACAGGTAAGATTGTGAGCTCAAGTTCTCCTTTTCTTGGGTGGAATCACAGTCCTTCTCTCAAAGCACCAATACTTACATGAGATGGGCCTGAAACCATGCACAGGACGGACAGTACTGCCTAGCACCTAGCCCCAGTGGCTACCAGGCAGCTTGGGGCAGGAGCCACATGCAACTCGTTACTTAGGACAAGCCCCAGGAGGAAGACAGTGGTGGGATCCTTGCTTCACAATTGGGGAAACTGAGGCAAAACAGCTCTAGAAGTCAGCCTATCTCCAGCGGACACTCCTGGAGGAAGTCGAGCAGCCCTGGTTTCCGAGCTGGGCCTGTGTGGACCATAGACCATGGTGGCTGCCCGGGCTCCGGAGGCAACCCTCCACACTCAGCCTCAGAGTTGTGGCTTCCCAGCTGTGTTGCTTTAGGAACCCAAATGTCCCTGAGATGGCGTGGTGGTTACAGCACAGGCCTCTGTCTGCTGGCTGGCCCACACGGAGGTGGAGCTGGGAAGCATGGGTTAAGGGTCCCGCGGCTTCCTGCTCTGACCAACCAGAGGACCCTCTTGGTGAGATAGTGCGTAGCCATGCTCAGCACGCGCGGGGGAGGGAGGTTGGATTGGGTGGGTCCGGCCTCCTGGGTCCTGAGCAGAGCCAAGGGGGGAGACTAGACTCTGGAGGACCCACTGACAGAGCCGCTGGTATGACCACCAGCCCTACAGGTGACAACCACCACCCGCGTGCGGGGAACACACGGGCTCCAGGCTGCACGTGGAGAGAGCATTGATTACATGTTCAAATGACATTCAGGCCATGCTGGGTTAAACTATCCAGTTCACCTATTTAGTTTCATTTGTTTTAATGTCACTACTAGATATTTGAAAATATGTGGCCGTTGTTATATTTCTATCTGGCCTGGGTGACTAGGAGGAAGGACCCAGGGCTCAGTTGCCTGATTGCCTAGTAATACTAAGAAGAAAACAGCAGAGACAACAAAATGCCAACCCCATAATCCAGCCCTCCCAGCACCTACCAGCCTGTAAAGTGGCACTCACAGGATCTCTTCCACTGCCTCTCTGACCTGGGGCAGCAGGGGCTCCTGCCATCCTACCTCCCCAGTGACAAATGAAGCACAGAAAGGCTAAATACAGCCAAGTGGGTGGTACACACCTGTCATCCCAGGCTGAGGCAAGAGGCCAAGTTTGAGGCCAGTCTCAAGAACTTAGTGAGGCCCTATGCAACTTAGCGAGACCCTGATTTGAAATAAAAAATTAAAAAAGGGCTGGGGATGTGGCTCAGTGATAAAGTGCCTCTGGGTTTCATCCCCAGTGAGAGAAAGAGAGAGGAAAAAAGGAAGGAAAGAAAAGAAGTAGTTAAATACATGGCCCAAGGTCAGAAAGGTTAAATACATGGCCCAAGGTCACACAGCTGCCTATAGCTGACAAAGGTAGATCCATTCGTCTTGTCCCAGAGCTTGTGTCTCATACTACTTTCCACTGGGGAGGTGAGGACTGAGCCCCAAATCCCCATGGGAAGTGTGTTCAGAGGTCTAGTTTCTCCTCTCCTGGCTTCCTGCTGGGCTGGGTTCCTGCTGGGGGATTTGTTGCTTTTCTGGGAAACAGAATAGACCTGGATTCCAATCCAGACCCCAAGGGGCATGAGCTGTGTGACCTTGGGCAAAGCACTGCCCTTCTCTGAGCCCTTGCTCTCTCTTCCAGTTAACAGTAGCTACTTGGCAGGGTTATTATAGCATTCCATGATGAATGATTGACAGTTACAGTGACAACAAAGTCAGCCTTCACCTACCCGTCCTCGACACGCTAGCCTGGCTGGTGGGCGGGATACCCACTTACCTGGTTTTGCTCACATCTCCTCGGCTTGCTTCCCCCCTCCCTTGTGTTTTGACCCTTCCATCTCTGAGCCGGCTCCTTCTCCAGGTGACCTCTCCTGCAGCTACAGTGATGACCCTCCCATTCCCACCTCCAGCCTAATCTCTTCCCTGACTCCAGCCTCAGGCACCCGCTGGCCAACAACCCCGAGGAGGGGCAGCAGACTGAAGCCCTATGACAAAGGCGGCTGAGAAGGGGTTTGACAATCTGTACGTGATGTGCGGCCCGTGACAGACGAAGATCCCATGACATGGGGAAGTGACATGAAGTGCACATTGCAGTGTCCATAAAGGGACTTTGATTGGGGCGGACACACTCACCTAGTCTCCAGTTATCTTCGGGCACAGTTGTGACAGAGACCGCAGAGCCTAAAATAACTCCCCTGTGGTCTCGATGCGTGGCCCTCGGTCCTAGGTGCTGTCTCTTAGTGGGTATCTTAAATTTAACATGACAAAACCTGAGCCTCGAGGTCCCTCTCTAATAAGGAAATGAGACAAGACACCTGCTGTCCATGTCCTTAGGTGCTCAGGCCAGAGCCTGGGATTGACGAGGGGCCGATTTTAACCCAACACCTAGGGACGATTTACAGTTTTGATCAGCACACTGGGGAGGGGGCTTTGGACACGCAGTGGGGGAGACCAGGGAGGCTGCTCAGTGTCCTGCGGTGCCCAGCCTGCTCCAGCCCACAATGGGGAATGGGCCTGAGACGCCGCCGGCTCTTCTTCCCTCACGCCCCACAGCAGTGACTGTGGCAACCCCTGCCCACGGAAGCCCTGGAATGTACTAGGAATTCAAGCCACTCCCCAGCCACAGTTCCCACTGGGGATGAGCCACTCCTGTTTCCCCTTTTGCCTTCCCCTTAGTCATTTCTCCACCCTGCAGCAAGAGCCCTCCTGGTAAAATCCAAGTAGGTAGGCTCCTGTGCCTTCTCTGCTCAAGAATCTTCGATGGCTCCCAACTCGAGAGTTAAAGCAAGGTCCTCTGAGGGATGCACAGGAACCTGAGATCAGGACACTGTTACCTCTTTGCCTGCGATTCCTCCTGCTTTCCCCCTTCCCTCACTCTGCCCCAACCATGCTGAACCCTCGCTGGCAGCCAGGCGCACAGGCTCACTCCCACCCAGGGGCTCTGCAACTCCTGCAGGCTGCCACGCACAGGGCACCAGCTCCCTGGGCACACCCATGTCCCTGGTGCTAGGCTTCCTCCCCACACACACCTGCCCCCGGCTCCTGCTCCTCGTTAGCACTCGGTTCTCTATGGCACTCTAAATGCTTTATTTATTTACCTCCATACTATCTGTCACTCTCTAGAACACAAGGTAATTCAGGACAGGAATTTTTGTCTTTTCCCCTCTGCTGCCCCAGAATCAAGAACAGAACCTGACACAGTATAAAGCCAATGAAAATTGGTTGTTGGGTGAGTGGACGGTGCTCTTGATCTTTGCACACATTGTCCCGGGCTCCGCTGTGCGAGCCCCACACCTGGCTCTGTGCCTGGTACCTGACCTGGGAGTGGACATGAACTCAGACATCCTGACCACAGTGACAAGGAGAGACTGGGTCCCCATGAGGCCAGAGGGAATGGAGGCCACTGAGGAGAGGTGGAGAGGCCATGCCTGATCTGCAAAGGCACCTGCTGCGCCGTCACAGTCAGTGCCACAGAGCCCACCCTGCCAGGTCTTGCGAGGCCTCTCGAGTAATGGGTCTTCGATGTGTGGTCTCCCTGACTTTAATTGTTGGCAATTGATTCAAATTTCAGATCTTGTTTCAGACACTCCAGATGCCAGTGAGCACAGCTGCAAAGCCCACTTGTTTCATAGCTGGGTAATGTTTCACAAGTGGCTTAATCTCTCTGAGCCTCAGTTTCCTGATCCCTGACAGGAAGATGGCATCTACCTCATAGGGATAAGGGAGAACAGAATTTCTGGCTTGTGCACGTGCTTAGCAGAACAGGAGAAAGGGACAGAAGAAAAGAGAGTGGCAAATAAGAAAATTGGAGGGATTTCAACCTTGTGGTGGCAGAAGGGCACTGTGGGGCTGCTGGTCCTATCCCTTCATTCGCAGACCTGGACTCTGAGGCTCAGAGAGGTAGAGAAAGAGGCCACACAGGGGACAGGTGCACAGGGAGGATGCGTGCTTCCCAGCCCAGCACTCCCATGATACGTACAAGGGAAATACAGATGCTGAGAGCAGGAGAGAGAAGAAAGACTACAGAAGCCCCAGAGAAGCACAGGGACCTAGCAAGGGAAAGAGAGGAGCCCAGAGGAGCACGGAGAGCT